CAAATGAGTCCAAGGTAGACAATAAATATAGACATGAATCTCAAATTCATCTTGAGAGAATTTTGAAACCCTATGAACACGTCTTGGATACCGAATGGAAAGATTTAAAAGATGATGGAATTACTGCTGAATGGGTTCAGATTCGTGACGATGGATGGGAAAAAAGAGAAGTTAGGAAAACCATTCTTTATTTACACGGTGGAGCTTATTATTTATGTAGTAAAGAATCCCATCGCAAAAGCACTAGCGCGCTTGCTAAAGGATCCAATGCGAGGGTTTTTGGTAAGCAAAACCACTTTATGGACTTTTAAACTTTTTCAATGTAACGAATTTACGTTAATATTTTATTAAACATTCATTTTATCAATAGCAATTGATTATCGGCTTGCACCTCAAAATCAATTTCCTGCCGCATTACAAGATGCATTAGCTGCTTATTTGTATCTCTTAAATCCTCCAAAAGATGCAGGATTTGAACCTTTAAATCCAAAAAATATCATATTTGCTGGAGATAGTGCAGGGGGTGGTTTGTGCATGGCACTTGGACTTGCCGTACGTGATGCTGGCCTGCCTTCATGCGCCGGTATCGTCGGATGGGTAAATAAAAAAAAAAATTCAGTTTCAGCGCATTGTTTAATTTAACATGATTTTCATGATTTATTATGCACATAACAGAGTCCATTGTTCGATCTTACACACAGCATGCCATCAACTATAAGTGATAAATGCGAGGAAACCGATTTTGTTTCAATAACAAGTTTTCGACATGCAACATCTCAAGTTGAAATTGATTATAAAAGAAAAGCTGCTGCACTCTCGGCAAGGATTAAGAAACAAAATCTTGAACCAAAAATTTGGCATGATTCTTTTGATAGACCTGAAGGAAGATTAAATATGTATTGTCAAAATGAAGCTCTGGCGGTTCCATACGTTAGTCCAATGTTGGCCGATAGTTTGGGCGATTTGCCTCCCTTATATTTGGTGAGGGACAAAATCACGTAACCACGATCTTATTTTTATGGCAATTATTTAAAACATTTTTTTTTTTTCCTTGAACCATATAGGTAGCAGGAGATGGTGAAAGATTGCGCGATGAATCAATTTACCTTGCTCATAGATGTAATGAACCAACTAAATACAAAGGTCCGCATTATAATGCTGGTAAATTTGAAAAATCTCCGTTCCAAACTCCAACAAATATTACTTTCGATTTATATGAAGAAATGCCTCACGTATTTCAGGTAAAATCTAAATATTTTTTAAATAATTAAATAAATTAAATTTTAACAGTAAAAAAAAAAAAAATTGTATATTTGTAGTTGTTTGACTCCCACATTTGTTCTGTAATGTCAGTTAAACGTACAATCGAATTCATCAATAGAGTGGTAGAAACTAATGAACCGCTTCCTCCCTCATCTTTCAATCGTATAAATTGTAAAGGAGAAATCAATCCATTAAACGAAAATGATAAGGAAGTTCTTCAATGGAAAAACATTGGTATTTTACCAA